CAAATTCTTGATCATTTTGAAAGTGGATGCGTAATTGTTCCTTTAGAACACCTCACCGGTTGTTATATGGTATGTGATCTGTCTTCCTAAATATCAAAATCTTTCTTCTTGTACAGAACAGGGCATGTTATGTGCTATGCAATTATGTATACTAGATTTATGCCAAGACATGAGAATAACTGTGGTTATCAAGAGGTAAAATAGTAAGTAAAATACAAAAATCATGCTGCATACACAGAGAAGTTTATCAAGACCTATCATTATTTTATTTTACAGATTAAATGCCAAATCTACATTTATTTGACTGGAAGTGTCCCATAGCTTTTCTGAAGTAAATTTACAAAGCATTAAACATTTGATTAAAATGAGTGATGATTCTTTAGCTCTAGCATGTGAGGGCAACCCCACACCTTTTAAGGTCATGACTTTAATGTAACAGCTTTTTTCTTTCACTACTTCTATAAATGGAGAATGCTGCTGCCTGAAAGCTGTCTGGGAATTCAGCCAAAGAAAGAAGAAGGTTGCAAAAACTCTGGGGACTTGAAAGAAAAGTGGTTGGCATTAGCTCTGTCCTCACTTTAAACTAAAATTAAAACAATAGACAGACATGTACAGTAATCTCTCTTTTAAGGAAAGAATACAATGCCTCTATAGTAATGTCAAGTGGAACAATTTGGTCCTGGCCCAAGATATGCAGCTGTTCCACAGGAAAATAGGAAAAGGTTTCAGTCCAAAGCAGGCAAATAAAGCATGATTGTTCGTAAACAGTCACTGGGGCCCTCACATTTAGAACAAGGAAAACAACATTAGCATAGAGGAGGGCAGGTTAGGAGCAGGAGTCTTAGTACAAGTTGAACCATGCCATCGGTTTATGATTTATACAAAAGACAGTGGTGTCATTTTGCCTACTATCCATATGCTTAGTAACTGTGAATAATTCATTCTTCGGGAAATTATGTACTAGGCAAATACTTTTTAAGAAACAAAGAAGATTTGATCATGGATTAAAGATACAAGAAGAAAAGGAATCATACATCCATTATCCATTATCCATTATCCATTTCTGATTTTCACCTGCTCATTCAAGAAGGATCAGGCAAACGGAAAAGATGGTGGAAAGTAAGTGTCCGGATAGCCTTTTGGAAGCTAAGCCATGGTGTGGCTTCTCAGTGGTTTCAAAATAACAAAATGGGGAATCAGGTGTAATAGCTGTAAAGTAATAGAGCAGAACTTTGACCGTGATTACCAGAGTAAGACAGGAAATTTAGACCTGCCCACTGGGCCCATATGTGATATCACATGCTACATTTTCACTCCTATTCTTTAGGATTTTTTTGATCTTGTCTTAAAATATGGACACTAGCTCTATTTTTTAACTTTTTAACTTCTGTTTGGCATACATTTCTTTTCTCATTCCTTTCCACTTTTCATGACTCATTTTCTGAAATGGGTAGTCTTTCCATGTGCTTTACTTCCCCACCACCTACTAATTCCCTGATTAATCCATTTCAATTTGCCTTCTGTTCTCTTTGCTCTAGTGAGACTGTTTTCTTTATGAGCAGTAAGATTTCCTTCTGGGGAAATCCAAAGATTTCTTTTCGGTCTTCCCTTGTTTTTTGTCCTGTCTGCCTCATCTGGCACTGTTGGAGACAGAATAAAACTAAAGAGAGGCAAGGAATTACACTGTCTTTAAAGAGGTTAATGCTTTCATTTACTAGAAATGATAGTTACTTTGAGAATGCAGAAGAGTGGATTTTAAAATGATTAGGAAGAACAGAAGAGAAACAGTGATCCAAAGGCATGAAGGAATCAAAGACATTAGCTATTTCTATAACGTCAATGGCCTGGCAATCTACAAAGAAAGAAAACAATAAAAAGAAAATTGCAAGTGAGTATACAAGAGAATCAGTTAATACACATTTATTCATAGATGGTGGCATACAGAATGTAACACTGGGAACTACCTGGATAAAAACGGAATAGAATGATCATTTTAACCCTTATGGAGCTTATAAGGTAATCACCAGAAGATATTATGATAATTAGGGATTTTTTTTTAGTATGGTTATAACTTCCTGCTAGATATGGTCAATTTGTTAGGAATTTGGCAAGTTTTCAGAAAGGGCACACATGTAGAAAAAAGCCTGATAAAAGAGGATGGCAACAGTAAAACATTTCTTAGGACTAGCCACTTTTCCACCATCAGGCTCCAGGGTTCATCTTCGGTGCTAAATAATTTTTCAAAAGTTACTTCGTCTAACATAAGGGACAATTTAGTCTCAACCACTGAAGTAGCAGAAAATAGCTGAAAGAACGTAAGGTTGGGGCAATGACTGAACTGAGCGCAAATCCTGAGTCATCCATTTTAAACCTGGACAAATAAAGGAAATTGGGGAACATTGCTGAGCAGCTTTAGATTTCTATAAAATAAGGGGTCTTTCTTATTTCGTTTACTTCCTTTACAGTGATATTAGTCAGGATCCTTCTGCCAAAGGTTACATGTTATATTCCCCAAACTTCTGGAACCTTTATATTCTTAAGTGAAATAAACAAATGAGAGGTTACTGCACTTTTCATTCATCTGCTGTGCAGAGGAGTATCAAACATCCAAATTTATTCCTAGGTAGCTGGAACAGAGACCCACAATAAAATACATCTATTCAACCACATTTGAGCTGAAGAGAATGGACTACCTGAAGATCTATCTAACTACCTAGACCTCACAAGTTAATTATTCACATAAATTAAAAGCCATTTCTGGGGTGCCTGAGTGGCTCAGTCAGTTGAGCATCTACTTTCCTTTCAGGTCATAATCCCAGGGTCCTGGGATGGAGTCCCACTTCAGGGGCCTGCTTCTGCCTCTGCCCCTCCCCCTACTCAGGCTGTCATTCACTACCCCTCTCTCTCTCAAACAAATAAAATCTTAAAAAAAATAAAAATAAAAAGATCTCAGGTCATCCTAATTAATGGGATGCCTAGATGGCTCAGTTGGTTAAACATCTGCCTTTGGCTCAGATCATGATCCCAGGATTCTGGGACCCATTCAAGTCTGGCATTGGGTTCTGCCCTCAACTGGGAACCTGCTTCTCCCTCCCTCCCCTGCTTGTTCTCTCTCTCTTTCAATCTCTCTCTCTCTCTCAAAAAAATAAAATCTTTAAAAAACAAAACAAAACAAAACAAAACGCTGTTTCTGCTATTGGGAGTACATATGGAACGAAAGAGTAGATCCTTGACAAGTCATTAGATACTCTTTGAACAGGAGTATATTTATTTCCAAGCATTTTAATATTGTGTTTCCCAACCTTATGTAATTGTATAAGTTGTACACGTATTCCAAAAGTACACATATGTACTTTGGGGCAGATCAATGAAGAAAAGGTAAAAGTAAAACTCCCTTGCTATGCCTTCATCATGATCATGTTCCTTCACATCCCCATATGCTGACCTCTGAGATTATGAGGAGGGAAAAAAAAAAAAGCAAACAAACAAAACAACAATAGAAGCTGAAGCAAATAGAGAGAGAGAGGAGGAGGAACAGACTGACATGGGAAATAATATGTGAAAGCAACAGGTGTGTGGATGGAAGGAAAAGTTAGGCAAGAAATTCTGTTGTGAGATACATAGAATCAGGACTAAAGAAATCAGGATTTTAGTATGTCTAAAACTGAGTAGAGTCTATTATACTTCTTTTTCTAGTTAAGAGTACTGAACTTGTAGCCAAAAGCTCTTCTTAAAGCTTTAATACCTAAATGCACTGTCACACTCAGCATACTGCAGTTGAAAAACGTCTTATATAAGCAATTTAATCGTATCGGAAAGTAAGAGCTAGGAAAGTGAATTGCATAGAATATATTTCGTAAAGCTATTATGAAAAAGTTTGTTCCTTTCAGAGTATAAAATGCCTTAAATGTTTCTTAAAAGATAGAGGAAAAACAGTGGATTAATTTGTCGAATATTCTTTATATGTTTGTGTCTTTAGAAAATAATACTGGAAGCCAGAATAGTTTTAAAATAACAAAACTTTGATAAAGAAAGTGTGAATTCACTTAGTGTATTAAAATTGTAATATCATACAACTGAAGAAGTTCAAATTTCAGGATTCTGCCTTAATGGTCTTTTAGAAAAATTCCTTATGTAATAATAAGAAATCTAAATTTCTATTAGAAATAACTTTTTAGTAACTTAACTTGATTTGCACAAAAGCTAGCCCATATAGTTTTACATGGAAAACAATTAAATTCCTCCTATTAAAATTTAAACAAATTGCAAATCAATTGGAAGCTTTTTAAAAAATCAAATAAATGACTTTCAGCACAACCTAGACTGTTACCATATTAGAAAGATCAAAGTGCTGTCAAATAGTCTTTGAGTCATGCATATTTGGGTAATCTGTGCTTGAATTTTGCATGAAAAAGATTTTCTATGAGTTAGTTGTTTATAAACATGAATGTCAAAAAGTTAAATATTAGAACTATATATTCTAATAATGAAATTATTTTCTAATTGAAAATGTTGAAACATCTCACATTCACAAATTATGTTCCTTGAGGCTACATTAGAAATGTAGATGTGATTTCCCTTCTTATGAAAATGATTTCCCATTTAACTTTAAAACTTGAGAATATTTTGAGGATGCTTCAGTATTTTCAAAGATTTTCATAGGAGAACTAAATTTAGCAATGTGTAATGTCTATCAGTCTTATGATGTAAACAGTGACTGATTAAGCCCACTTTCCTTTCAGGTTGAAATATCTTACTAGAAATAAAAGGGAAAAAAATCACAGCTGGAAACCTTCCCAGAAACTTCACTAGATGACAAAGTAAAAGACCAGTCTTCCACAGATACTTAATGAAGACATGGTTCAGGGGATTTCTGTTCTAGAGATCACTTTGCCCACCAAGAAAAGACAAAAAACAGTGGATTTCTTCAGTTAAAGTCTGAAATCAAAGCAGGATAGGAGGAAAAAGTGAAAAACTTTAGTGCTCATTAAATCACTTACAGTGGTTTTCCTTTGGATTCACAAGTCAAAATTAATGGCTGTCCTTCTTGTGGAAAAGGAGTGGATGGTATAATCTTAACTGATGGTGTATCTAGAAAATAAATGAAAAGGAATATTAAGAAAGGTCACTAAATACACATAAATATATATATTTCATAATTGTACATCATGGCATGTGTTCAGGCTTTTTCTTATTAGTGTGTACATTTACAAGGGATTTCTGAGATTTGGTGAAACACAATATTCAGTTTTAAGAAGCTACCATCCTGTCTATGGAACGTTAACAAAGATTTCTGAATATCTTATGAACCCCGCTGTAGAACTATTTCTGAAATCTGAATATAAAACTGAAATTGCAAAATGTGGTTCAGATGAATATCAAGCATTTCATACAATTGTTTCTTCAACTATTTATAGATGGCTATGAATACTATCATTATGGGCCAAGTGCATTTATGTACATTTGAATAACAGCAGTTTTCTGTTGCAGGAATACCAGGACTCACAATAAAGAACCCTCAAAGAACTCAGGATCAACTACTGTCTCATAATCATTATGCAGGATCTTTTTGAAAATGCAGGAATGCAGGGGCGCCTGGGTGGCTCAGTGGGTTAAGCCCCTGCCTTTGGCTCAGATCGTGATCTCAGGGTCCTGGGATGGAGCCTTGCATCTGCATCAGGCTCTCTGCTCAGCAGGGAGCCTGCTTTCCCCTTTCCCTCTGCCTGCCTCTGCCTACTTGTGATCTCTCTGTCAAATAAACAAATAAAATCTTTAAAAAAAAAGAAAGAAAATGCAGTAATGCAGCACTTAGCACATGTTGTTTGCTCTAATGTACAGTCAGCAAATAATTTAAAATAATTGTGTAGAAAATTACTAAAAGTTAACCTTTTGTTATATATAAGGCAACATTTGTTGTAATTTTTTTTAAATTTCGATTTAAAAATAAAATCATCCTTGGTAAAAGAGGATTCAAAAATACTTTTTGACATTAATATGGATAGCTTTTGTGCCACATTTAATACTGTTTAATCAACACATAGACACCTATTTCATAGAAGAAATGGAAAATAAACTTAAAAAAGGAGACAATGTAAACATGCTCACTGCTCTATGAGACTTTGCTAGTCTTGGCATTGTGTGGCCAACACAACATGGAATTCCTATCAACATGGAATAGCTTCCTGCTCTTACCTTTGCATCCTCAACAATAAACAAAATAGTCTCTGAACATTCCAGACAGTCATGATTATTTTCACCCTTCCCTTAGGGATGATGGAAGAATTGAACCACCCAGGGTTATACTCACACTCTGATTTTGAACCAATTAAATAAGTATCTATCAACAGTATAACTTTCAGGTTACTTTTAGGTTACTTCAGGAAAGTTTTATTCAGACTTGTCATATATCAAACAGTAAAATAGGATCCTGTGGAAGACCTTACATCATACTTATAAATTATTTACAGATTTTCAATACTTTTTTTCCAATCTTTTAAGCAAGAAAATACATTCTTGGTAATCAACAATAATATCCTGGTTGCAAATAGGGATTCCTTATAGATTATGGTAAAGATTTCAGTGTGAAATAACCCAAGGCAGGGGGAAACTTGACAAAATAGGACACATTTTCATCATACTTTTTTAAATGGTAGGAAAAAAATAATTTAATAAAGGATTAAATTATACTTCAGCAATTTTTTGATTATCACCATCACATTTACGGAATCAGTTATTGACTAGGATGATTCTATAATGTTTTCTTCAAAAAGTGAAGGCGAAATATCAACAATTATACAGGGTAACAAGTATGAGCCAAAATTATTCTGGAAAATGAGGTCTATTGTCTTTTGAACTTTGAACATATATGCATATAGCAAAATATATTTCATCCTGACAAGCAGAAGCAAGATTCAGTTCCAGAGGAAAAAAAAGGTGGAAGAAAAAAAGCTCACAAAGTGTGATTCTAGAGAAGAGAGCTGTGTTAACTTGGGTGTCTATGATGGTTAATTTTGTGTCAACTTGACTGGACCACGGGGTGCTCAGATACCTGCCTTAACATTATTCTGGGTATTTCAGTGACAGTATTTTTGTAAGAAATGAACTTTTTTGTTGTTGTTGTTAAGATTTGATTGATTGACTGATTGATTGATTTAGAGAGCACAAGTATGGGGAGAGGCAGATGGAGAATCTTAAGCAGGCTCCATACCCAGCATTGAGTCCAACCCTAGGCTTGATCCCACAACCCTGAGATCATGACCTAAACTGCAATCAAGAGTCAGACACTTAACCCAATGAGCTACCAGGTACCCCTATAAGAGATCAACATGTAAATCAGTAGACCGAGTGAAACAGATTGCTCTCCCTAAAGTGGCTGGGCCTTGTCAGATGAGTTGAAGGCTTGGATAAAACAAAAAAGCTGATCCTTCCCCAAATAGGAGACAATTCTTCCTGTCTGATGGCCTCCAAGCTAGAAGATAACTTTTTTTCCTGTTTTGGTCTCAAACTGGAACTAAATCATCAGCTCTTCTGGGTCTCTAGCTTGGCAACTCAGCTTACAGGTCTTGGGATTTGCAGCCTTCATAACTGTGTGAGCCAACTTCTTATAGTAAGTCTCCTTTTCTATATATACGTGTTATTAGTTTTGTTCTGACAAATACAGAAATCTAACAAATAGACCCTGAGACACGTCTTTTATGGGTGTGATATTAGGAAGGACTGGAATGTGAGACATGAAGAGAAGGAAGTAAATAAAGAATGTGCTATTGAGCAGATGACATGATGGGCAACCAGGATTCGATTCTGCCCTGGAACTCTGAGAGACAATATAGGGCATGCCTCAGACTTATCTTACTTGATGAGCAAGGGGCAGGAGTATTTAAGGAATATTTACCAATTTTCATTAGTGTTTGGTTGAGGATTACTCTGAAGGGAGGCGGAAGGTTATTTCCCTGGCATGCTTAGTCAACTCAGTGCACAAAAATGGTGTTTGCTAAAGGGATATGGGCAAGTCACCACTAGTATCTGCTTCATTAAGGTAAAATATATAATGACAGGTAGCTGTTAGAATAGAGGAAAACAGAATATGGCCCGGTTTCTCTTAGCTTTACCAGTTTTTGTTTAAGCAATTTATTAAAGGTGAGAATTTGTATCACACATAATCCCTGGAGGCATGATTGCAGATTCCATTTATATCCAAAATACAGAATTTTAGTTACAAGAAAATGCTAGAGCAAATAATATTATTTGCATGTATTTCTACAAACTTTCAGGAAGACCACCAAATAACCTCTAAAGTAACCAAAATCAAGGGATATGATACAATGTTCTTTTATTTTACTTCGAATTATTCAAAATGTTGATTAGTTTCTATGCCTACAAATTATGTTTGCTAGATTTCATAACACCCCGCTTTCTGTGTCCCCCTACCCCCACATGTTTCTGATTCAACTCATATCTCTGGCTACTATTTCTCAGGTTCTGTTGTCTTTTTGCATTTAGCCTTTAAATACTGAGATCACCAAGAATGGAATTCATGATCTGTTCTCATGTTAATTTTGGCTGGGTCCTTTCAGCCACACCCATCTCTTTAGATTCTAGGTAGTAACCAGTCATTCTCAGGTTTATATTCTGAGGCAATTCTGTACCACAAGCTACACTGAAATATATGCAGCACCCATTTGACATGTCCCCTCAGATATCTAAAAGACATAGTGCCTTTACCATGTCCAAAATGAACTCCAGCTCTCCAACCATTACCTCCATGTTCTTTAACTGGCAATCTCTTGTTCTTTAGATACTGCCAGCCTCCATCCAGCTACATACACTAGACACCTTCTGTTTCCTTGGATTTCTATCTTCAACCAATTAATTAATTCTGGTTGATCTATGTCCTGAATAGTTTTCAAATCTGCTCATTTCTTTCTTATATCTCCACAACTACTTCTTTTATCTAGTTTATAGCGATAGTGAATGGTCTCTCTCTCTCTCATGTCAGTTTTTGTCTCCCTAAAATCTGATTTTTAGAACTAAACAAAGTTGTCTTCTCAAAACATAAATCTGACAGGGGCACCAGGATGGTTCAGTCAGTTGAGCATCTGACTCTTAATTTCAGCTCAAGTCATGATCTCAGGGTTGTAAGATGGAGCCTCAGGTTGGATTCCACACTACATGTGAAGTCTGCTTGGGACTCTCTCCCTATCCCTTTAACCCTCCCCTTTGCTCATGCTATCTCTCTGTTTCTAAAATAAATACATAAAATCTTTAAGAAAAAAATACAGATAAATCTGATAACAGCAATGTTCTGGTTAAACCCTGAATGCTTAATCTTTGCTCTTAAGACTGATAGCAAAATCATTAGTATCGCCTTTATCTCATGTGATCTGTACACTTTATCATCTTGCCTTTTTTTTTTTTAAGATTTTATTTATTTATTTGAGAGAGAGCGCAAGCAAATACAAGCAGGAGGAGAAGGAAAAGAAAACTCCCTGCTGAACAGGGAGCCTGACAAAGGGCTTGATCCCAGGATCTTGAGATCATGACCTGAGCCAAAGGCAGATGCTTAACCAACTGAGCTACCAAGAAGCCCCCCTCTCTTGCCTTCTAACATTCATTTTCATTCTTTGAATAAATTTTATACAAATTATCTGGAATATTCCATTCTGGGAGAGCTTATTTAACTCTTGAAACTCTTGAAACATTTTGAGAGCAATCATTCCTTACCCTTGAGTTTGATCAGATGCCTCTTCTACATGTTCGCTATCACCTTGGTATAATTTTTAAACAGTCATGGCTATATCTTCAGTATCTTGCATAATGCTTTATACAAATTCTGTGCTTAATAAATAAATTCTTAAATGAATGAATACGCTAAGGATTTCCTTATACTTTCTTATTGGTTTGATATATTAATCCTAAAATACTAAAAAGGGTTTAATTGAAACCTTTTGGGGACTGTTGTATGTAAAATTAATCTTAAATATTCATGTTACAAATAAACCACTTATTTATTTATTTATTTATTTGACAGACAGAGAGCACTAGTAGGCAGAGAGGCAGGCAGAGAGAGAGAGGGGGAAGCAGGCTCCCTGCCG